TTTTAATAAAAATTTCAGTTTTAATTTGTTTTGAAGTAAATTAAAAAAAAAAATGTATCTTGTAAATAAAATGTGGGAAATGAAAATTGTTGTATGTTTAATATTTTTTTTTTGTATATTTCACATATTATTTTAAACACGTGCTTTACAGATGAAATTTTTTCGTACAACAATCCAATATTTATAAATAAGATTTACAGTAATAATTCAATTTCTTTATTGCTTTATCTTTTTGTTACATTCTACGGAATCGAAGTTTTATTTTGTGCGTATTGTTTTCCTTTTTTACAAAATATAGTAGTCTTACAAAATTAATTTACCGACATATATTCTGCATGAAATATAAGAAAAGCAATACACCATATTCAAAAGGAATATGTGAGAAAATTGTTATTTTATACATTATATGTATAATTTTGTTTATCAATACATTCATCATGTTCACACATAAATAAAAAAATTGTAGATAAAGCTACTCACAACATTACATACTTGCAAGAATGTAAAATTAAATGAGTTTTTGTCTCTGGGTATAAATATTCTTATTTACTACAATTTTAAATAACACAATTTATAAGTAGAGGCAAGAGATATACACTTTTGTTACTTAATAGTGATATGTTAAATACATTTTAGGTATGTGCAATTTATACTTGCAATATCAAATTATTGTATTCTTTAGTACTTAAATTTGAAAGTGAAATAAAAATGCAAAACAAGTATTGTAAGATTAAAATTTTCTGTGTAACGAATTCCATTATTATACTCATTACCTCATAGATTTATTAGTTTTACATACCCTATATACATATTTCAATGCGTATGTAGAATATTATTATTATCTATTACTTACTGTACATGTATCTTAATAGCAAGCACAGTCTTAAATGCAATACAGTATTATCAGCCTTCTAAAATGAGATGTAACATAATAACAATTTAATACAAAAGTTATACAGAAGATATATAAAAAAAAAGTGTAAAATTAGCATATTCAATATTATTGAATGTATAAAAGTATATGTCAATAAAATAACACATTAAAATACATGTAAAAGAAGTATATAATGGCTAGAAGGAAATTTGTATTTGACTGTAGCAATCAAGTACTAAGGTGCTAATGCATTAAAAGAATAAAACAAATGTAACAAAAGTTTTGAAGTCTACTTTTAGTACTTAATATAACAAATTATACAAAATTTAAAATTACCTAAAACCAGAAGTGTCAGATTATTATAGTTTCTGTTTGGTTGTTTTGTGAAATTTTAAATTGTTAATCTTTTAATAAATTACATATTCATGAAGACTGTTCTGAAGCCATTTGTTTATCACAACTGCAAGCCTTTCCTATATTTTAAAACCTATAGAATTTTAAGTACTTGAAATAATTCCTTAATAGTTATAAAGTTTTTAACTCTCATTAAATAAATACATGTAATCTAAAACTAACTGCATTCTTGAATTACAAAATTTTTAACTCCAAAATATTTTGAATTGTAAACGTGTAAAATAAAAAATACTTAATACATTTTATGTCATGGAAGAAATTATATCTTTGAATTAAAAAATACACATGTTACATGTCTCCCTAAATGTTATAAATGCATTTGTATAAATTGAACAGCATATCATACAAATACATTGTAGGAATGTATCCTTTGTTTTGCTTAAAATATTCTATTTTAAACATTTTTTTTGTTGAGCATTGTAAATATTGTTGTTGCACTGCA